CACTGGGGCCCCGCGAAGTCGGTTGGACGCCTCCTCCTGTAGGCACTCTGCCCAGCTGGTCTTTTCGCAACGCTTGGCGACCGTCTCCGTATAGTGCTTATCCAGCAATTTCCTGTCTAAGAAGTCTTCCTCAAGGTACTGGGCCATTTCGTTGTACTGAGTACGGTCCCTTTGTTGCCTCTTGATGCCCTTCTCGCGCGTGACTTCTATCATGGGAATGGGCCGTTTAGCTGGAAGCATGGGCTTTCGTATGAGAATGGTCGAAGGCCTGGCCCATATTTCGATGACGATGCCAATGTGCGGTGACCAAGGCACATCGTGTTCAGCTCGTACTTGTTTGATTAGGGGCCGAAGGTCTGGGGGTATCATGACATAGTCGATGAGGCGCCCCGTTCCACTGTTGCACGCATGCCTAACGCGCTGGGGCACAACAGTAGATCCAAGTAACTTGAACCAGGGCGTCGCCTCGAATTCCTGGGGCGCATTGTTGAAGTCGCCACAAATCATCCAAGGTATGTTGTCCAGGCTCTTCGTTAGCTGTACCAATTGCTTCATCATGCGAATGTTCTCCCCAGTGAAGCCAATTGATGCCGTAAGATATGCAGTGATAATTGCAATCAGCTGCCCTTTGAGCTGCCACTTGATTATGGAGATATCGTGAAACTCCTTGGCGAAGATACGGTAGCCCTGCGCGTCTGGCAGGTGTGCGCGCGTGTCCAGATGTCGGCGTCGAAGAATGCAGGTGCCCCCTCAAGGTGCCTATCTTCGACCGTGGGGATGGTCTTGCTGGAGTCCATGTTCCATGGGAACGCCAACCATATTTCATCGGCCGATTGGCCTCGATCCCCGTTGCCGGTCCACGCAGATGGTGCTCATTGAGCGCCATGATGTCATACTGCTTGTTCTTGCACTCGTTGTAAGCCTTGGCGGCCGCGCTGTACTGCGTTATGCTGGCCATGAGTGTCGCGACGATGGTCTTTGCCTCGTCGCGCTGGTTCTGCTTCTCGTCGCCTGTAGTCTGGGCCCCATGACCAGTGCCCTGCGCGCCTGCACGGACTAGGTCTTCCGACGATGGCGAATATTTAGAACTCCCCGGTGATAAACACGACTGAGACTTGCCTGGGTCATCATCTGCTCGGGTAGACGCACTCTCGATGATGTAGTCAACCTCGTCGTCGAACCAAACCTGCTTCTGGAACGCCACTGGCGGCTCTATCCCCCCTCTGCATCCCTCGCGCCCCCTGGCGCTGGTCGGATAGCTTCGCGCCGCGAACTCCGCGGAACCACTGCCAGCTGCATGCTTCGAGGCGGCCCTGCCCCGCGCGCTGTTTACCTCGTGGGTGCGCCAGGGGACAGGCTCCAGCAAACACATTGGCGACGGAGCCCAGCCCCACGCGCTGTTTACCTCAGTGGGTGCCCCTGGGGGCTGGGACTTGCGTTCAATAGTTTCAGCTTCCACATCGTCGAAGTCCTGATGGCGGTTAGGAGCTCTTCGTCGTAGCCGCGGCGACCTTCGCCCTGCTCTTGATCTGGGCCAGCTTCGCGAGGTAGGCCTGGGCCTGGGCGTCGTCTGAGAGGTCGTACTGGTTGGCGAGCTCGATTTGCGGTCCATGGTCGATGTTGCTGCACCTGATACGGCCGATGTTGCTGTGGTTTCAGCTTCCTTGTCTGGTTCCGACTTGGTGTCAGCTCCATCGTCTCCTTCGCGTCTCTTGCAGGCCTTAGTCTTGAACGGCTTGGCTGCGTCGAGCGCCTTCTTCGCATTGTTGACGGCTGTCTTCCTGCCCTCGATGTGCTGCTTGGCCTGCTGGAATTATTTCTGGATGTTGTCATATTCTTCTTTCTGCTTAGCGCCCAACATTGCCAGCTCTTCTTCATCCAAGGTGGGGAACACTTCTTCGTCATCATCAGGCTTCTTTGTGTACTCTGATTCGGGTACCGCTTCTCCAACATCAGCCTTTGCCTCGTGGAATTGTCGCTTTGCTTCTGCCAGCTCGGCCACGTTGGCGTTGATCCGCTGGAGCACCTCGTTGCGGTACTCGGTGGCACGCTTGAGCTGCTTGGCCAGCTTATCTTGGTGCTTCTGGAGTCGGTTGAGCTCAGCGACTGCCTCCTGGAACACCTGTCCCGTGGACGGCGCGGTGACTGCTGCAGGATATGGTGGCTTGGCGTCTGGGCAGGCTGCGAGGATCTCGTCCATGCGGGACTGGTCATTCTGCTCGCTCGCCGCGATGTACTGCTTCCTGAGAAGGTCCACCATCGGCTGAGCTGCATCTCGGACGGCTTGGCCTCCCGCTGGCGGCTTCGAAATAGCTGGTATTTGCCACTCTTGCCTACATGTTTTGCAGTCGGTCCGTCCAGACTTGCCAGCCCTGTTGCAATTTACCCAATTGCCACTGCCCACAGGACACGTAGTACATACCAGGTATTGCGTCTGCTTCTTGCCCTTGGGATTGGGCGGTCTGCTGGCTGAGCGCGACGGCGTACGTCGCCACGGCGCTCCCCATGATGCCTCCCGCGTCGCTTGGGCATCGTTGTCTTGTCGCCAGCCTCTGCCGCGTGTCATATACTGGGCAGCAGGCACTTTTGCAGCGGCTTCTGGCCGCCCCCCTCAAGCCGCGAACCGACGTACAGCAAGCATCAACTCGCCGCCGCCGATGGCGCGCGCCCTGCTGCCTCGGCCCTCGCGCGCGCGCGCCCGCTGCAGGCCGAAATGGCTTGAGCCAAAATGGCTATGGAGGAGGAGGAGGAGGACAAGGCCGAGACTGACCCTGCTTTGCCTGCTGCCTTGCCTCGCACCTGCCAGCGCTGATGCCGCTGCTGCTCTGACGATCCGACTCCGCGAGTGCTAGGTGCCTGCGCTTACCCACAAGGACCCTCCAATTCCAGCGGTTCCACAGCCACGCAGCGATCTGGTGCGAGGGGGGAGTGGAGAGACTGATAAGGCGAAAAACGAGCATGCTCCCAATTCCCAATGGCTGTTGCTGGTCTCTTGATTTGCGTGATGCCACCTTGTGTTGCCCGATTCCACGGCCTGGTGTGGAGTCCATGCCAGGCCGTAGAATCGCGATACTATGGACTACGATACGCGTAGCGCGATAGTAGTCCATACTATGGACTACTATCGCGTTCGATGCGCCTCTGACGCGTGGAAATGTGCGTCTACGCTCGTGGCTCCATCAGTGACTTGCCAGCTGTCAGTTTGTTTTTGGTTGACCACGGCTGAATTTAACCTTGGGTGTCCGACGCGACGGCGAATGGCTGTGGAGGGCGAGGACGGCCAGATGGGGCTTCACCGTGCTACCCTGCCACCGCACCATGCCAGCGGAGCCTGGCAGTGCCATAAATTCGCCGGCCCAACGGGCCAGAGGCGTGCCAAGATCTCCGGTAACTGGTTTTACAATGTTTCTAGTTCGCGCGCGCGGAGCGGCCCCTGGGGGCCCCCGGACGACAAGTACCCCGGCAAGGTCCCGGGAGAAGCCACCAGAGCACTCCAGGGAAGGGCCATTTTTCGACACCCCTCACGAGGATCGTGGCCTCCGAGGGGGGAGCCGCAACCCCCTCCCGCCCCAAGAGGCCCCCAAAAGCCTCCCAAGAGGCCCTGGGGACCCCCAAAGACGCTGCCAAGGAGCCCCAAGAGACTCTCAAGAGGTCCCCAAGAGGCCCTAAAGAGGGCCCCAGGCCGGCGGAATGAGCGAAACGATTAAATCCGCCGACCCTGTCGGCGTGTGTGAGGGGCTTCTCCGTTCTCCCCCTCCCAGGGCTCTCCTCCTCAAGCGCGCTACCCAAAGCGAAATTAAACGACGTCGTAGTGGAGTCGAAGGGAAGCCCCTTCCCTTTGATCCCTTCCCCGCAGGGGGGGGAGGGGAGGGGGGGGGGGGCCGGGGCAGATACGACGCCCGCCGGGGCGCACTTTCCTCGAGCGGGCACACAAAGGATGCACTTCCTCCTCCTCATGGTCCTCCTCCCCCTCCTTTTCCTCCTCCTCCTCCTGCTCCTCTCCTCCTTCTCCTCCTCCTCCTCCTCCTCCTCCTCCTCCCGCAAAGGCGTCCCGGGAGCGGGCCCCGAGTCAAAATACCACCCCCCTTATGGCGCATTTTCTTCGAGCGGGCACGCCGGAGATGCACTTCTTCCTCTTCCGGAGCACGTCCCAAGTCAGAATATCACACTCCCGGGGCGCACTTTCTTCGAGCGGGCACACAAAGGATGCACTTCCTCCTCCTCCTCTTCTTCCTCCTCCTCCTCCTCCTCCTCCTCCTCCTCCGCCTCCTCCTCCGCCTCCTCCTCCTCCTCCTCCTCCTCCTCCTCCTGCTCCTCCTGCTCCTCCTGCTCCTCCTCCTTCTCCTTCTCCTCCTCCTCCTCCTCCTCCTCCTCCTCCTCCTCCTCATCCTCCGCTTCCTCCCCCTACTCCTAGCCCTTTCGATCAGGGTCGGCGGCACCGGCCGTCAGGCCTCTCCAAAAACATGGTTACCAAACATCGATCCCCCAAGGCGCCGAAATTGGGTCACCCGTGTCTCCTGGTTCATCTCGACAGGGAACACAAGGGGGAATGCAGAGGGAACGGGCCTTCTCAGAAGCCTCGGAAGGCCCCCGGCCTTCTGAGAAATTGTCCAGAGCTGCTCCGGAAATAGATGCGGCTTCTCAGAAGGCTGGAGGGCTTCTGAGAAGCTCCACTGCCTTCCGAGAAGCCCCCCCCCCTGGGTTCGTCGCCGATCATCTGCCGCTCTCCCCCCTTAGACAGCGGAGAAACCACCATCCTAATCTGCACCCCGACAAGCGAAGCCACTCAATAAACGCACCCTTGGAAGGAATCAAACAGGACAGGCCGCTGCGTAGCAAACGCCCAGGGCCGGTGAGCACAAGCACCACTCGTGGGGGTCGAGGTGTTTCTTCCTCTTTGGACCCCTGCCACTCTACACCATGCTACTTGCAACCCGCCGCGCCCCTGCCGCCCTGCTCCGTGCAGGTGGCCCCACCTCTCCCCCTGCTGCCTCGCTCCCTGCTGCTCGATCCCCCGCCTTCCTGTCGTGTGCTGCGATCCCCCCTCTTTTCTGACGCCGTCCGGCTCGTGCACCTCACGGTGCGCCTAGATCTTGGCCTTCAGCCTCTTCGGCTGCTTCGTTGCCGCCCAAGTCTTAAGGGCGCTGTCGCGCTGCTCGGACGGCAGGTGCCGGACGTACTGCAGCGGAGGCACGATGGCCCCCACCTTGGAGAAGAACTTGGGCTTAATCTTCTGCAGGTGCGAGGGCAGCGCGTTCCACTCCCTCCCGAGGGGCTGCCTCGTGTTGGAGGCGGCCAGGGGGTCTCGACGTGCTGAGACCCCAGAAAATCTGTCAGGCGGGGGGATGGGGCCAAATCCGCTCAAAATCGCTCACCGGAACCCCAGATGTCACTGCCCCGGAGGCCGAGAACGGCCCCCGAAGGCTGGAAAAGGGAAAGCGCCTCCCCGAACCTGAAACCTCGAACCTGCCCGCCCTTCCTGCTGGCCAGAACCTGTGCTGGGCCACTCCAGAACCCCACACTTGAGCAGGGGCCGACCGTCCCAGCATTCCTATAGGCCTACCGCGACATGTTCTTAGAACTCCGAAATGTTCTAAGAACAAAAACAAAATCCGTAGAACATAAGCCCGACGTGTTGAAACACGACGGTCTCGGCCAGAAACTTTCTGAGAACAGTTCGTGCAAACCACACAAGGTTCCGAGACCATTCTTTGGTGGGCCTATAAAGGCGAGCCAGGGCGCTTCGCCACTGCTCGACACACGGCTCCAAGCCTCATGAGCGCCTCGTACTGGTCGGGATTCTGGAACGGGTACGGCATCTGGTCCACGAAATACTTCGAGGGCTCCGCGCCGCCGCCCTCGTGGAACTGCACCCGGGGGCCCCTGGGCCTCTGGCCCTCTGCTGGGCCCTCGGGCGCCGGCTTCTCCTGCCGGCGACCCCGGAGGGTGTGATGCGCAAGGGGTGTGGTTTTTGGCGGCGCGCACAGGGGGGGAGGGGGGAAGGCTTCTTGGAAGCACCCCTGCTTCTTATGGGAGGCGCGGGCCTCGTCTGTAGATGTAAGGCCGGCGCCAACTGCTAAGAAGCAACCTCCTTCCGAGAAACCCTCCCCCCTCCCCCTGCCCCCTTGCGTGCGCGCCGCCGAGGCTTGCCACCAGCACCCTGGGGGATACCCCGGGGGGCGGGCGAGGATCTCGGCAGAGCTCCCCGCCGCGCCCCGAGGAGACCTGACGAGGAACGTGCCGATCGCGAACACCACACCCTGGTGCCAATCGCGAACACCACACCCCGGCGTAACCATACCCTTTTGTCGCCGCCGATCCTGGCCCTTCCTCGGCCTCCTCGGAGCTATGCCTGCTCCGGTCCAGGAGCCCCAGCCGGCAAGCGCCTCTGGCGCGGGGGATGGGGGAGGGAGATCGACAGAGGTGCGGGCCGGCTCCAGCCTCCAGCATGAGTATCGTTTAACCGATCCCCATCCCCAACGGCGTTGCCTGGGCCCCGCTGGCCGATTTACCCCCCTAGATGGGGAGATAGGTCGTTATCTTCGGGTTTCGAGGGGTGTATCCCCAACTGGGGTGGTAATTTGGTGGGGGTCTCGCAGCAGATGGGGATGGGGATGGGGATCGGTTAAACGATACCGAACAGAGGTGCGGGCCGGCTCCAGCCTCCAGCAGGCGGAGGGGCGGCGGCATCAGGGCAAGACGGGAGCGAAGCGGAGCGAACGCTGGAGTCGTGCGTGCTCCTCTGTGCAGCTCGCCCGTGCCCAACAGGACGTGTGATAGGCCTGCTTTCCACCACCACCACCAGAAGTTGGAGGGGGAGGAGGTCCTCCTCCTCCTCCTCCTCCCCTTCCACCTCCTTCCCCCCTCAAACTTAGAGAACGTGTCTTTATGTTCGGCGATGACGGGCGTCATGGGGGGGGGCGACGGGGGGGGTATGACGTAACGCCCCCCCCGCCGCTGGGTTCCGGCACCGCAGCCGCGCCCGCGCGCGCGACGCGACGAGTGACGAGCGACGAGAAACGACGACGACGACGCGAGCAGCATGTAGGTGCCGATCTGCCTGAATACGCCACAACGCTCGCGTGCAACACAGCGCGCGCGTGTATATACCATAACGCCTGCGTACACCGCAACAACCGCGTGCAACGCAGAGCTTGTGTACACCACAGTGCTTGCGTACACTTCAGCGCCGGTGTACATGTGTACACCGCAACTACCATGTACAACACAGCGCCTGTGTACACCACAGTCCTTGCGTGCACCGCAGCGCCCGTGCACGCCACAGCGCGTGTCTACACCACTACATCCGCCTGCAACGCAACGCTGGTGTACACCACAATGCCTGCGTGCCTAGGACAGGTAGAAGGAGAATGTCCGTGAGGATCTGCTGCGGACAAATATACGCCACGCCAGGAACGTTCTGATAATCGAATGCGACGTTATTCCCTTTTCCCTTCTCCTCCACCTCCACCGCCTCGTCCTCCTTCTCCTCCTCCTCCTCCTCCTCTGCCTCCTCCTCCTCCTGCTCCTCCTCCTCCTCCTCCTCCTCCTCCTCCTCCTCCTCCTCCTCCTCCTCCCCCTCCTCCCCCTCCTCCTCCTTGCCCCCTGACGTGCGGGTTGGCACTACAGCGCGCGCTCGCATCTCAGCGCGCTCCGCACAATGGTCTGTTGAATCGGTCCACATAGTTCTCGGACGGCCAATTTACCTGGAGCCTCATGGGCACAGACGGGAGGAGTTAGGGTGATGCGGGTGGACTCGGGAGGAGTCGTAGATTCCAGCGGCGCTCCGTTGTCCATAAGGATCATTTTCTATTGTTTTTTTTTTGTGGAATCCACAAACGCTCCATTTTGTCATAAAGATTTGTTCGAACATCATATATACAACAGTGGTGATGTGTTGCACACGGTTGCTGTGGTGCACACAAGCGCCGTGGTGCACACAAACACTGCAATGCACGCGGACATTGCGGTGTACACTGGCGCTGTGTTGAACACGGCTGATGTGGTGTACGCATGCGCTGTGATGTGCACAAGAGCTGTGGTGCCCGCGCGCGCGGTGGCACAACACTGCCGCTGTTTTGCACGCGGCTGCTGTGGTGAACATAAGTGGTGTGGTGTACACAGGCGCTGTGGTACACGCATGCACAGTGGTGTACACAGGCGTTGTGGTGAAAATCGCCACCTACATGCTGGCGCTACCCGTCCTCCGTCATTCCGTCAGATTCCTAGACGCCGCCAGCACGAAATGTGACGTCATCGACCCCCTCCCCCCAAAAATGATTGCCGTCATCGGCCCGGAATAAAAAACAGGCTTCAGCCTCGTCCGCGCGCACGACGACTATGAACGACGAGCGACAAGCCACGGGCGACGACGACGACGACGACGACGACGACGACTGCGGACCAGACGCCTATGCGGATTCCTGCGCGGACACCTACGCAGATCCCAATGCGCACGGCGGCAATGCCCGGAGCACACTGGGAGGGGGAGCGTTACGTCATAGGGGGGGGCGGGGGCCATGACGCTCGTCATGCCCCAAGCAATGAAGAAACGGTCTCTTATGGTGGTGGTGGTGGTGGAAAACAGGCCCATCAACGTGGCCTCGACAGGGAAGACCTTCGGGCGTGGAGGCCGCAGCCGCAGCAGGACACGACGCGGGCGGGATGAAGGCAGCATCGAGCAGAGATTGCTCGGCACCTCCGAGAGCCAGCGGGTCCGAAGGCCGCGCTCGGTGCCGCGGCCGTTCTGGCGCGCTCCGGGGCGCTCGGAGAGCGGACCAGAACGCCCTGTCCTTATCCGAGGCCTCCCCGAGAAGAGATGCACGGATGGGGTTGTGCCCGGGCTCCTGCGAGGCGTTATCCCTCTCCTCGTCCTTCTTGCGTGCGAGCTCGTCCTGCTCTGCGTCGAAGTCCTCCGCCTGCGTGCCCTCCACGAAGGCCGTTCTGACCAGATCGCGCTGCTCTCTGGCCGCCTCGGTGTCGGCGTTCAGCACCGACAGCAAGTCCTCCACGGCCGCGGACGCCTCGGGCTCTGCGTCCGCGTCTGCTCTTCTCTTCCGCTTTTTTGCCTTCGCCGCCTTCGTTCCAGGGCCGCTGGGCGCGCTCTCCACTGCGGGCTCCTGGAGGGAAGGAGGAGGACGAGGGGGGGGGGGAGGGAGGCTCTGGTTGGAGCCTGGGGTGGCCAGCAGGGGGGAGGGAAGGGAAGGAGGTGGAAACGGCCGGGGATCTCAACCGGATGTGCCCCGAGAAGACCTGTTTCCCGTGTTCGTGTTGTTTTCGTTTCCCCTCGTTCTGTCTTCGTTCCGCCGTTGCTACAACACGAAATCAAAACAACAGCAGTCCGCGAGGCCGCCAAAACACCGTTTAGCTCGTGCCCTGGCCGCAAGATATGTCCACGACGATGGGATCCCGATCCGCCTAAGAGCGGCGGACGGGTCCTCTTCGCGCGGGGGAAGCGGGTCCTGAGGGAAACGGGTCCTCGAACCTGGGGCCTTCCCGCAAGGCGACTCCTTCATCCCTAGTCGTTGTCTGATCTTCCCGGCCCGCGGAGGGCCTCGAGAGCCAGAAAGCGGCGAAACACCTCAATGCCCGTTTCCCGCAGGACCCGTTTCCCCCCTGGCGATCCCCCTGCGCTTGCGTTTGCGGCTCGGCCCTGCACGGTGAGCCCCTGCTCGGAGACGGGATGGGCTGCACTCGGGGCGGACGAGCGGGGGGCGTGGGTGCAGCAGAGGGGGGCGAGACGCGACGTGCGCCCGCGCTCCGTTTCTAAGGGGCGGTCCTCCAAGATGCCAGGCGTGCATTGTGGGCTTTACTCTTGCGAGCCAGCGGGCGGGACCTGGGAGGCTAGCAGTTGAGCCCGAGATGGAGGCCACGCGCTGGCGCACAGCCTCCCTGGAACAAAACCATGGGTCCGACGAGGCCTCGTCGGACTGGGCGGTGGGCGCGAGGCTAATCCTAGGCCGCGGCGCATCCCACGCATCGGAGGAGACTGTGGGTTGTCGCTGCTCCATCTGCTCCATCTGCTGCCGTCAGGGACGCGAGTCAGGGAACGAAGCGCTTGTGTGTTGCCCCAAAAATGAAGAGTACGCGAGGAGCAGTACAGTAACAACCGTGGAACTGCAAGAGTATCAGCGAGCTCCTTCCGAACCCCAGCTCCTTCTCATTTCGGCATCTTGACTGTATATCCCCACTTCTTCAGAAGACACCTAGCTGCATAATCATTCCGCGTGGCTGTCCTGGGTAGGCGCTGGACCGCCTCTCCCCGCACCACCTTCCCCGGTGTGCGGAACGCGCTGTGGCACGTTCGGTTGGGCTCATTCTCCTTTCGGACCCCCCCTTTTGCGTTCAGCTCACCCACTGCTCGGCTCGCACAGCATCGCCGATGCATCGGCAATGTCCGCGATGCATCGGCGAAGTCGGCGTTGAGAAAGTCGGGCGCCACATCGAGCCGCATCGCCAATGCATCGGAGATACGGCGCGATCCTTCGACTCCATCTGCAAAACCCCATCTTGGAGGCCTAGACTGGCGGAGGCCAGGAAAGTCTAGGGCTCACACTGGCCCCTGGCCAAACATGGTGGTGGTGTGTACGGCAGGTTCGTGCCGTGACGACTTCGTGTCTCTGACACCGCGTGGACCGTTCAGACTTGAACGATCGGCGGCTTCTCGATCGCCGAGCAGTCCCATTTTGGATGGTTCTGGGCCACTTGCGGCGTTCAGCCTTGAACGCCCGCGGCGCCGCCGCGTCGACGCGACACGAACCTACCATCGCTGTCTCTTTTGGATACTCCTCTTCGAACCTTGCCCGAAACAACCTCTTCAACCCGGCCCGCCTCGTGAAGGCCCTGGATCGGGAGCGGCCAAGAGGGGGGCGTCCAAGAGGGGGGGGCGCAAATCATGGCCGGCGGCATGTGCGCGGCCCCTGGGGGGGCCGAGGCACGTAATGAAACAAGAAGAGGCGCCATGAGATCTGGGGAAATATCATGGCCCACGCCATGATATTCACCCCCCCCTAGTCATCACCCCCCTCTTTTCCGCCCCCGACTGGAGGCCCAGCGAGGGCCTCTGGGGAAGCCGGAAGCTGGAGAGAACTCCGCCACTCCGCGGCGCGCCCAGAATGGACCTGGGAACCGGCGGAAACGATGCACAGCAGCAGACACTGCTGGGGCGCAGAAGGACATACAGTCGGGGCCTTGACCTAAGGAACCGAAAATAAGGAACGAGGCCTCTTTTTTCCATAAGTCAAACTTCGATTTCCGATCGAAAACATAAGGAAAATCTGAGGCAAGCTGCGAAACACTTAAGGAACGCGGAGCCCCTCCCCAACGAAAAGTGTTCCTTCTTCAGGGCCCCGACTGTATTGGCACTGTGCGCCCCCCTCGGAGGCCCGCGTCCGAGCTGACCTTCTGGCAGCACGGGCACCTCACAGCAGATCGGCACCCCGGCGTGGCCAGACAGCGCCCGCCGCCGGGCCCATGCCGTAAGACTCCTGAGCGCGCGCGTCGCCCATGGGGGGGGCCTACTGCGCACGCGTAGTCCAAGCACGCCTGAGTGATGCCCAGCTGCCCAGAGCCAGCAGCGGCCGCTGCTGCCCAGGCGACGCTTGCTCCAAAGAGACCACGCCCGCGGCAGAGCCGACGGCGAACCCTGGCCACGGTGGTCGTCTCTACTCTGTCAGTGTTGTTCGCTTCGGTCCTCCCGACCTGGGCCACTGCGGCAGGTGCGTGTCGTGCCGACTTCGGCGCTGGTTTCTGACACCACGGCTGAACGATCGGCTGTTTCCGAAACGTCAGAACGTTCAACATCGACCGACTCTGGGTCGCCAACGGCGTTCCACGTGGAACGCTGTCGGCAGGGTCGCCGTCAGTCGGCACGCCACCGCATTCTTCACAGTGACCGCTGTGGTTATCCAGTGGGACGAGAAAAGGGCGGTCAGGTTCCGGGCAAAGGGGGTCTTTCGTACGGGGGCTGCAGCAAAAATGCAACAGTTCATCCTGTGGCTCATGGCGCCCCAGACGCCTCCCGTCGATAAGTGGTTTGGTTTTGTGTATGGCTGGCTCGCCGCGCGTCCCTCACCAGCAATATGCATCTGAATTTGTGCAAGATAGCAAGCACTAGCCTGCAAATACAAAGTGCGCCTGCAATCTAGACTAAACAGTGCAAATGAAAGCAGTGTGGCATGGCCACGGGGACCCGAAGGAATTGATGGACCCACGTCTTGATGTGGCGACTACAATGCTCGTCTTGCGCGCTAGGGCGATCTTAAGGAGAGCTCAGACCAGCATCATAGGGCCCTCACTCAGCCAGTATTCGATTTCCTCCATTGAGACCTGCCCATCGTTGTACGGCGTGAATGACAACGCGTTGATCACGTAGTCAAGCTCGTCCGTGTCGAAAAAGTCACTCGCTCTGGTCACGCTCTCAACCATCGCCTGGAACTGCACTTTGCTCAGGCTGGTCTGCCGTGGCGCCAAGTAGTGTTCAGCGCTTCTATTAGACTTCACGATTTCCTCCCTCACCTTGTTGAGCTTGTAGCTAATCATGCCACCTTTATACGTGGCAACGATGCCCAGAATGATCAAGTATCCAGTGAAGAAGAGACCCATCATCCACGAAGTGCCTCCATCCCAAAGCGTGGAGAATATAAGTGTTGAAAGAAACAGGTACCATATACCACGCCCCGTGAAACGTGTCATAAAAAGAACGAATTTGTAAATATTGTCCCTGACGTCAACCAGCGATTGGTGCGGATGTGGGATTGGGAAATCCAGCACCACCATCAAAAACCCAAATACCAGAAGGAAGAAATTGCCAAAGAATGTTGCCGGAGCCCATGCAGGCTCAGTCAGGTAATGAATCATGGAAAACACTGCTGCCGCAACCACGAAGACAGCTCCTGCGAAGAACCCCAACTTCCACCTCATCGTCTTTTCGATTCCAGATTCTGCCTGGCCTCCGATCAGTCCAATGCCAGCTTGCAAACTTGATGGGGCATCGTGCACGTCACCTCTGAATGCCATGGCTCCTTGGGATTCGCACGCGCGCCTGAGCAGAATCAGGCGCGCACCTGCGGTGCGCACGCAGAGCGGGCAACCCTTGAGCCACAATGGCTACGGCAGCTCTTCGCTCCATTCTGGAGCTCCTTGGGCCCCCTGAGCCTCGTGAGGGGTGCTCTGGAGACCGTCGTTGGGAATCCTGGGGGCACCTTGGGCCAGGGGCACTTCTAGCAACACCCCCAGACATGCGACGACCTGACTTTTTCAATACGCGGTCCCTGGGAGTCCCGACCCTTTCCCTGGGACCCGTTTCTTCTCCGTCCTGGGGCCCCCTGAGGGCCCCCTGCAGCTGAGAATGGCGAAAAACATGCCGTCGCGTTTTTTTCACAGCCCGAGGGGGTCTGGGCCACCGATCCCGGGGTCGGTCCACCCTGTCTCGTTCTTCGACGCGGGCCCGGCCGCGGCAACGAGGCCGCCAGGAGGCCCGGCGAGAGAGAGAGCACAAGAACGCGCCGGGGACGGCCGCCGCTCTCTCGAGAGGGCCCTCCTCCGGTATTCCGCAGGGTGGCCGCTGCTCCCACTCCGCTCGGGATACGATGCGAGCCAGGGTCGTTCCCAGACCCCCTCGCGTTGTGGAAAAATCGCGACGGGACGTTTTTCGTCATTTTCGGCCTCCGGATGCCCTTACCGGGCCTCGGGGCCGTCTAAAAACGACGCAGGATGAGAAACCTGTCCTGGGGAAGGGGTCGAGACCTCTGGGGGTCGACGTTGTGAAAAGATCACGACGACGGGGGTCTGGGCGCACGGCGACAGCAAAAACAAAAGCCGATCGAACCGACAACGAAACCGAAACTTACCTAAATCGACGGGCCAAAAACAATTTAGAAGGGGGAACTGCAACAGTAGAGGCCTCCTAGATGGGGTCGGAGTAGATGGGGTCGGAGGATCGCGCCGCATCGGCGATGCATCGGCGATGCTTCAGCGACGCATCGGCGATGCATCGGCGATGCATCGACGATGCATCGCCGACGTCGGCGACGCACCGGCGACGTCGGCGTGGAGAAAATCGGGCTCCGCATCGAGCCGCATCGGCGATGCATCGCCGATGCGGCGCGATCCTCCGAGCCCATCTACTCCGACCCCATCTAGGAGGCCTAGAAACAGGCAAACTCATGCAATGAACCGTGGCCTGCAAAGAACCCTCTTTGCATTGTATCCCGCTGCTGGCCCAACGAATGAGAAACAAGACCAGGGGGGCTCTCGGCGGGCAGTCGCTGGGTAGTCGGTGTCAGGGCGGCCGACTGATTCGGCGGGGTGCATGCGAGCGGTGGAACATCAATGTTTGAGACGAGAAGTCCAACGCCAGAATCTTCTTCATTATCTATTGCATGTGGTACCGCCGACCCATTGGCCAGAGACCGATCGCTCCAGACTACAGCCAAACCTGTGGGGGTGGAACGGGTACACTATGGACTCCCGGTGTCCCTGCAAACGCTTTTCGGCGATGCACGGGGGGGTCGGCGATGTACGCAAATCGGGCTCCACATCGAGCCGCACCTCCGAAGCACTGGCGATGCGGGGCGACCCTTCGACCCCATCTACTCCAACCCCATCTAAAAGGCCTAATTCCCCATGCTGACGTTGTCAATACCCATCGGTCGGAAGACGTAGGTAGAAGCATGACATAGAAAGGCGTTGGAAGTAGATTGGGTCGTCGCCCGCACCCTGAAGAGGAGGGAAGAGGGGCGGCCACTCGATCATTGCATTGAAGTAGGACGGCGCCTAACGTATTGGAATCTGGACATCCAGAAATGCAAAGCGTTCAACGACCGATGGGTACGTGTCTCCTGAACTCCCGACCCTTGCCCCAGGGTTGGATTTTCATCCCGAGCCAATTTTTGATGCCCCCAGGGGCCGTGGAGGGCCCCCAGAGGGCCGAAAACGAAGAATTATCCCAGTGCGACCGTGCGACCCTACCTAGGAGTTGGAACCCCTAGGAAAGCAGCATTAGTAGTAACTCTAAGCTAAAGCTAAGCTAAAGCTAAGCTAACGCTAAGCTAAAGTTAAGCCACAGCTAAGCTAAAGCTAAGCTAAAGCTAAGCTAAAGCTAAGCTAAAGCTAAGCTAAAGCTAAGCTACATCTAAGCTAAACATAAGCTAAATCTAAGCTAAAGCTGAGCTAAAGCTGAGCTAAAGCTAAGCTAAATCTAAGCTACAACTAAGCTAAAGCTAAGCTAACGCTAAGCTAAAGCTAAGCTACAGCTAAGCTAAAACTAAGCTACAGCTAAGCTAAATCTAAGCTAAAGCTAAGCTAACGCTAAGCTAAACGCTAAGCGAAAAGCTAAGCGAAACGCTAAGCTAAAGCTAAGCTACAGCTAAGCTAAAGCTAAGCTAAAGCTAAAGCTAAAACTAAAACTCCCAGGGGACTGGGGGGAACCGCTCCCAGGGGACTGGGGGAACCGCCCGGGGCGTGTTCCACTGCCCGGCCCCTTTAAGCTAAGAGAGTAAGAACCCTTCTAGGCAGAGCCTAGGTGGGGAAAAACTTCCCGCTGTGCTTTGTTCCACAAAGCGAGCATGTCTGGATAGATTTGAGCTTTCGTGAAGGGCAACGATAGGGGGGGGCTGGCATAGAGGGGGACACATCGACCTGGAATCGGCGATACATCGCCGATACATCGGCGATCGACCCCCGATCCTGATCCGCACGTTCCTGGGCAGGTTGGGGCTATCGGGCCCCTATCTGGCCATCGCTCGGACGTCCATTCCCTGTGTTTTTTTTAGTTTTCGTGCGTGGCTGTTTCGCCAAAAGACCAAGGATGCTCCTCGATGGTCCTCGCCGAAGGAGAAATGCACGCGTCCGAGCGATGCCGAGCTGTCGGCGATCAGTGGGCGACTGCAGGTCGATGCATCCCCGCCTGGGCCCATCCCGCCTGTCCGTGTGGCCGACTTGCGCTCCCACCCCTCCTCGGCGCCAGCCGCGGCCGAGCCCGCTGCTCCGTCGGCCTCGGGCGTCTCCTCGGCACTGAGCCACGGGTTGCGCGAGGCCTCCTGGCCTGCCGCCCCCGGCTGCGGCGGCGCGCTGGCACCGCGGCCGGGCCTCGGCTCGCGAGAGGGCCTCGCCGGGCGGTCGGAGAGGGCACAGACCTGCTCGGGCTGCCAGGAGGAGAAGCATGGACAACCGCCACCGAGCACCCGTCGGTGAGGGGCCGGCCCCTGGGCGGTGACCCGCCCGAGCGTCACCCCAATGCAAGAGAACGCTCAGGCGTGCCGCCGCCCAGGGGCCGGCCCCTCACCGAGGGGTTCTCGGTGGCGGTGGACAAGAGCCACAGCGGAACACACTGGTGACTTCTGGGCATCCAGGGGCTCTCGCCGGGTCCCAGGACGGTCGAGTAGCGGCTCAGGATGAGACGCCGGTCCTGGGGAGGGGATCCAGACTTCTGGGGGGGCCCACGCGTGGTGAAAGAAGCACAACGTCGGAGGTCTGGGGGAGGGAAGCTCTGTGTGTGTGTGTGCCAGACGTGTTCCATCGCGCAGGCATCCCAACTGCATAATCCCACCAGCCCTCTGGGCGTAGGTGGTTTAGGGAGTTTCCTCTTCCAACCTCCTTCTTCCTCTTCGGGGAAAGGTTAACCCCTCCCCCTACCCCCTCCCCTGGACCTGGACGGGGCGTTCCGCGAGCGGTCGGAGCGTCCAAGATGGCCCAAGAAGTCGCTCCAAGAGCGCCTCGGAGAGCCCAAGATGGCCTCCAAGATGGCTCAAGATAGCCTAAGATGCGTCAAGATGGCTCCGAAGATGATCAAAGAGGCCTCAAGACCGCCCCAAGACGCCTCCAAGAGGCCAAATAGCCTCCTAAGGAGGCCTCCAAGAGGCCAAAATCCTTCAACAACCTTAGGAAAACCAATGATGTTTGCCTTCTCGCCGTTTCGCTTCCGATGGCCATTCGAGGCCTCACGATGGTTCCAAGAGGGCCCAAGAGGGCCCCAAGAGGGGCCCAATATGGTCCCAAGACGACCCCAAGAGCGCCCAAGAGCGCTCCAAGAGCGCCCCAAGAGGGGTCCAGGAGGCGATTCTGGGGGTTCCCGAGGGGGGGCGCGAATCAGGGAACCCCTCTTCTTTGATCGATCTCCTCCAAGATGGCCCCAAACGGCACCCAGGAGGCCCCAAGTGGCGCCAAGATGGCTCCAAGATGGCCCCAAGATGGCCCCCAGAGGCCCTCAAGAGGCCCCCAAGAGGGCCCCAAGCGTCCCCAAGAGGCCCCCCCCGAGGCACTCAAGACGCCGAAGAGCCCCCCAGGACCGCCAAGAGAACCCCCAGACGTCCCAAGATGCCTCCAAGAAACGCCCAAAAGATATCCCAAGAGGCTCTGGAAGTCATTCAAGAAGCCTTTGACTCTTCTGATCGCCCTCCTCCTCCTCCTCCTCCTCCTCCTCCCCCTCATCATCACCATCACCATCACCATCACCATCACCATCATCAGCATCATCACCATCACCATCACCATCACCATCATCAAGACCACCACCATCATCGTCATCATAAACATCATCAATATCAACATCAACAACATCATCCGCCTATTCCTCCTCCTACTCCTCATTCTTCCCTCCCCACCCTCATCATCCTCCTCCTCTTCCGCCTCCGACTCCTCCTCCATCCCCCCCCCTTGGGGTACGACGGCCTCCCCAGCCCTTTGTTCCTCTGTTTGCTGCCCCGTTTCCATGATCACCTCTACTCGCCTGGGCGTCGGTTCCATCGGATGGGCTGGTGGGGATACTTTTTGGTTCGCGGCTCCACGGCGGATGACAGGGAGCAAACACAACGTCCGGGGCGCGTGACGATGTAAATTGGCCACCGAGGCGAATGCACGCGCAATGGACAAAATGCCCTCATTAAGACGCAAGCTGCGTCGGCAGGGGACCGGCCCAGACATCCCAACAGGTGGGGACGCAGGCGCGGCGACCGTCGCCCAAGCTCCAGCCGAACCACATTCGGTGAGGCCAGGAGGCGGGGGGGGGGGGGAAGAAGAGAGCGAAAGCGAGCGACAACCACAGGCTCACTGCGGCACCCCGAATCAACGATGGTGCGGCGAACGAGGCCTGACTCATCAAGGCCCGTTGAATCTGAAGTGTAGCTGGTCCGCGACTCAACGCAAAGCAATAGGAAAGCCACTGGGGTGCGTTCGCGAGGCTGAGCCACCTCCAGCCAATGCCAGTGCGTGCACATCGCATCCGACTCGCGCAGTTCGGGGGCAGAACGATGCAAAGTACTGACGTGAGCTGATTGCAGACTGCTCTGCCGGGGGAACGACCACGAACTGCAGAAGGCTGAACCACTCAATGCATGGCTGCTCCCTGACGAAGCCAAACAGCGGGTCACCGAATGTATGGCTGACGGCCGCGCCCGTTGTTTCGCACCTCCAGCCGATAGCCAGTGTGAGCACATTGTCTCCGACTCACGCAGTTCGGGGGTGCAAAGATGCAAAGTCTGACGAGGGCTGGTGGCCGGGGCAACACTGGAGAGGCGACCGCGTACTGCAGAAGGCTGAACCACTCACTGCAGGGCCGCACACTTCCAAAGGTGTGGCTGAACCGCGTCAGAGCGCCATACAGTAGAGAAGACCACTGGTGGGCGCCCGCGAAGCTGAGCCACCTCCAGCCGGTAGCCAGTGCATGCACATCGTATCCGACACACGCACTTCGGGGGCACAGCGATGCAAGGTACTGACGAGGCTGGTAGCCGGGTCTGTTCAATGGCTGCGCCAAGGAGTGCGACCAAACTGGACCGCTGAAGGCTGAACCACTCGATGCGGGGTCACACACTTGACGAAGCCAAACACCATGTGTATGGAGGACTGCCGCAGCAAATCACCACCTCCACGTATCCCGTGCAGCAGCTGGATGCCTCCGCCGCCAGGGTGCCGAGCTGCAGAGCTGCACTGTTCGCTGGCAGCGTGCTGACATACCACTGCGTCCTTGCAGTAGAACTGTGGTTGGGTTGGCGATCGTGAGGGGGCGCAGCCGAAAGCCGCAGAGACATTGACGAAGGTCCGAAACTTTCTGGGCAGGTCTCATGGCGGGCGCACTTCAGCGACCAGTGCAATCTTCCCAGCAGATCAGGGGGGGCGCAGCCGAAAGCCGCAGAGACATTGTGAACGAAGGAGGAGGAGGAGGAGGAGGAGGAGGAGGAGGAGGAGGAGGAGGAGGAGGAGGAGGAGGAGGAGGAGGAGGAGGAGGAGGAGGAGGAGAAGGAAGGGGCGCCGCCAGGGCCTGGGACGCGTCACTGAACCACTCGAAGCGGGGCCGCTCGACCGCGCCGATCCACATGGAGGGCAGCCACCTCCACTCACCACCACCATGCGGTCTTTGTAGAAGCTGTCGATCCCTGACGCCATGGTGCACAGGTGGCAGGAAGCTGCCTACCTGCTGGGCTGTGCCGGTTGCTGGCGCCCGCTGTCGTGCCAGGGCGACCTCTGTAGAACCATTGGGTGTTCCGCAGCGTCTGGTGCAATCTCTGTCGACTGGGGGGGGGGGCGCAGCCGAAAGCCGCAGAGACAATGCATGAGAAGAGCAGTGGGGGCGCAGCCGAAAGCCGCAGAGCACGGGTATCAATACACAGAGCATCCATGTACAGTACTTCATGACCACGGGGGGGTTGGGCTGAGCAAGGGCGGCGCGGTGGGTGATGTCGCCCACGATCCGCCGACGTTCGCTGTAGAAGTGGAGCGCAGGAGCTGGGTTATTTCAACCATCCGTCACTGCTGTCCAAAGGAGGGGCTGCCATAGGGAGGTGGCACAGTCGACCCCCTGCGTAGGCAGAGGCCTCCACCGTTGGATGCAGGGCCGTGGTCCCGTGCGGCAGCCGGCCGCAGGGAGGGAAGGCCGGGCAAGGACCACGAATCCAGCGTGGGCTGTCTATGTGCGCAGCGCAAGGGTATTGGCGCCTCCCCGCCCCCGCGGAGGTGGCACATGGTACTGCGGCCGAGGCCGGGCGCTGGAGGTCCACGAGTCCACCGTGGGCTGTGCATCTGCGCAACGCGAAGGTCTTGGTGCCCCTCCGCCCCGTCGGAGGTGGCACAGGGCATTGCGGCCGGGGCTAGGCGCTGCAGGTGAAACTGGCTGGGGGGGTGGGTGGGTGCGGCGAGTGCCGGTCGGAGTGGAGCAGGTAGGCGGGAGGTGGTGATGCACCTACCAGGCGGCAAGATGGGTGGTGGGCCGTGGCGACCACCGATTCGCTGTGTGCATTCGAGGGAGGCGTTGTAGCGTCCCTCGGGAGCTGTCAAGTGCCTAGGCCGCGGGCGCTCCCAAGTCGGGGGAGCCAACCACGGTGGTGGGTGACCCTGCGCTGGCTGGGGAGTGTGGGCCGGTCTTGCACGGGTCCCACGCTGCGTCCCTGTCCTCTGGCTCAGGAGTCCCAACCTCGTGGACGCTTATCGGCGTACGGGTGATCTCCTCTTGGGGAATAGCGCTTGCATTTCGCCTTCCAGTCTGCGTCGGTCCATGAAGCACCTTGTCACCTTGGTGCCCCCAAGTGTCCCATGACTGCCGTCCGCGCCACGACGAGGCCGAGCTTGATGCGCCAGTCCACTGATCTGGGCGGGACGCACGCGCCGCCTCTTTGCCCGCTGTGGTCCAAGGGGGTGGGCGGCCACTGCTGCCGACCCCATCGAGCGGTGTGTGGCCTGGCGTCGCGCTGCAGGAGCCTGCAGTGTCGATCCTGGACACTCAGCCAGTCAACTTCGAGTTTGCACTGTCTGCCCTCGTATAGGCATCGAATTTCGCCTTGCTCCATGCCTGGAAGAATTCGCTGCACTGCTGTACGGAATTTAGCTTGGGATCAAGTTTGGTAAAGTGGCTCCCTCGCCTCAATGCTGCCTTCTTGACCCAGGCGCCCCAAACTCCGTTGAACGCACCTCCCAGCGTCTTCTGCAGACGTGAGACCTTGTCGGGTGCTGGCTCGTCTCTTGAGACGCCCGCTTTGTCGACTGGACACATGTACATGGGGATGCCCCCCGTGGTTTTTTTTGCACACGCAGCGCTCGGAATCAATGCAGTCCCCAGCCCGCACGTGCAAGGCTCCAGACGCGCGTCTGCATCCCTACGCGGGGGCCGTGCCAGA